TTTATGTGGTGCTGGGATCAAACCAAGTGCCTCACACATGTTGGCAAGCACTCTATCACTGAGACACAACCCAGCCCTGTAATTCTAATTTTACATTATTACATTTCATCTATTCCTAAACCCACATGCTATCTTTTAGAAATTACTCAAAATTTCTATTCCACAAGTAATATCAATTATTCTCTTCCTGTGCTCTTGAAGATTTTCATATGTGTTAAATGTGTACCCCAATACAAAATTCTAAAAACTTGAAATTCCTCAAATATAAATTTTCTGGGGCTGGGGTTTTAGCTCAGTGGTAGAGTACCTGCCTTGCATGTGTGAGGCACTGGGTTCGATCCTCAGCACCACATAAAAATAAATATATTGTGTCCATCTACAACTAAAAATGATATTTTTTTAAAAAAATTAAATTTTCTAAGTGCTGACATGATGCCATAAGTGGAAAATTCCATACCCAACCCCATGTGACATGTCATAGCCAAATTCAGGAACACTAAAAAATACTGTATAAAATTGCCTTCAGGCTTATATGTATATGAAACAAAGGAATTTTATGTTTAGACTCGGTCTCATCCCCAAGATATCTCATTACATTTATCCAAATCCAAAAATCTGAGGGGAAAATCCCTCTTTCTTTTTCAACAAGCAATTTTTGAATACCTACTCAGGATACATGCATTTTTTTAATGCCTGCTATACACAACTAACAACATAGTAAAATTCTTGGAGAGTCTAAGCTTTAATGGGGGGAAAAAACAGCAAAATGAAGCATATAGGATACTAGGCAGCAAATAAAACAAGAAAAGGGGATAAAAGTGTTAGAAATGGGTAACTTAAAATAAGATTGCCAGGGAAACTTTAACTAAGCTTAGATACTATTTGAACAAAGATGTGATTTCACTGGGGGAATATGTGCTCCAAGCAGAGGGAACAGCAGTGATGAAGTGGGGGTGGTCATGATTATATGTTTTCAAATAATAGCAAAGAGGCCAATGTGATTGAGGCAGAGAGAATGAAGGAAAAAGCAGTCCACAATGAAGTCAAAGAGGTAATGGTGTGTGAATGTGGGGGTGGGTGCCAGATTATGTTCAGACAGTCAACTGTTAGATATTCATTAGTTTATTCTGATAGAAATCATATCTTCTTTTGACTTAAATGGCTTAGAAGCTCTAGTGAATTTTAATTGCAAATTTATCCACAGTTATACCACCTATAAGACCTTACTTTATTTTTCATTTATTAAAGTGGATGGAAAAACGAATCTCCATACATCTAAAGTAATTTTTACTCTACAATATATACTTTGTATCTTGCCAACATTTGTGTGTGTGTATGTGTGTGTGTGTGTGTGTGTGTGTGTGTGTGTAGTACTGTGGTTGAACCCAGACCTTGCACACATGAAGCAAGAGTTCTACAACTGACCTATATACCACAGCCTTTTTTTTTTTTCCATACAAGGTCTCACAAAGTTGCCCAGTATAGCCTCAAATTTGGATCCTTCTTCCTCTCAAATAGCTGGTATTACAGGTGTGTGCCACTGTGCTTAGCTTGCCAACAAAATTTTTAACCCAGAATTTGAACACAAATGAGTGATGTCTTTTTGAATAAATATCCTCAAAGAAATAAAGTTATTAGCAAGGGGATAATAATAATTAAAACATTATTTATTATTTTTATTAAAGTATATTAACTCTTTGAAACAATAAAGATTACATTACAAATATGAATATAAAATAAGTCAAAGCTTTACTTATAATACAAAAGTTTAACTATAAGTTTTTTGTCAAAAGTAAACCCGTGGAAATAAACCATAAATTTGTTGACTAAATGCTCTTACTTGTAGTGCAAGAAAATAAAACTTCAAATCTTCTGGTTTAAATTTCTATATAACGACAGTACGAATAATACATTCAGAATCCGTTGGGCATGAAAATCAACAATTTAGGTCACCTTGAAAAAACAAATAAATGATAGTGCTACATTTGTTATCTTTTAATGTATTGTACTTTTGCATATACAGGTAGTAATTCAATGATTTAACATACTGTTTAAAGTTATAGGGTGGTACTCTGAATTATGTTTAGTACATTTAAGAGTATTTGCAGAAATAACATTAGAGGAGGCCCTTTAATACCCACTGGAATAATTCTAATTATTAATAATTATGCTGATAAGTTGAAAAGGCTTCCCACCACTACTGAAACTACCTATCAGAATAAAGGTAGACTCTAAAGGATGTGCACATGGTTACACACACACACACACACACACACACACTCACACACATACTCACAAACACAAATTCAAGTACTGTGTTCACACACTTTAATCAGGAATAGGGAAGAAGGGAAGACAAAGTATAATTTCAATAAAAATACTACACACTATATTTCCTCTGAAATCTTTATTTTTGAATCAGTATATTTTTAAATTTTATCCTCAAAATTTAAAAAATCTAAATATTTCCTGGGTTTTCAATTCCAATTACATTTAATCAATAACATATTAAAACATGAAGTTAGCAAAACAGTTTTTAAAGTATTAGTCTAAAGTAAATAGAATTTTATTATTTGTTCCAGTGCCTTTGTTCTACTCAACCTTTTCAGTTTACTAAGAAGGCTATTGCTTTTCAATTTTCAAAAAGAAATTATACCTTCATTTTTTTTTTCTTTTTAAAAAAAGGTAGGAAAATCTATTTAAAAACAAATAGAGTTAAAAAATTACTCTGTGAAATTTTTTCACTTCCCTCAAAATGGACCTATATATGGTATAAATGTTTGATTTAATTTGTAATATATGTGATAGAGAATCATAATGATAACATTCCTTCTTACGGAATAGTATGGTATCTCAGCATGACTTATTGCCTTGTACAGTAAACATACCATTTCTGTGACAAATCATTGCCCGACACAGCACCCCCAATTTAAAGCACTAAACACATCTACTGATCTATTTCAGATACAACAAGCTTCTAACACTTAAGATTAAAATAAAATTGATGCTCAAAGAACTTCAGTAGATAAAATAGAACAGACATGTTTGAACCATAACCAGATCACTACAGGCAACAGTTTGGCCTAACTACAGACAGAAATAACATATTATCCACTACAAACAAAGTATATCCAAGCCTCATGTGACAAGATTCAATAGCTAAAAATCAAGCAGCACTCAGCAAAAGAAAATATATTTAAATGAATGCTTTCATGTCAATCAAGAAGTCTCAGCCAGCGAACTTTCAGCAATACTGTTCACAGAGACAGCATTATACATCAATCTCCTATTTAGGGTAATTCTCCCTGGTTTGGTGGGCTTCAAACAGCTCAAGGAAAGTTAATTACATTTGAGCTGCTTCTTCACAGAAAGGAGTTCAAAGCATTACACATGATGGCAACTTGTCAGACTCTAAGCAATATCAAGACACAGCTTGCATTTATTACTTTTAGTTTTTGCTCATGACAGTATAAGAAAGCCTTTCCAAATGCACATTTGGGTTCAATGTGTACTTTCCAACTAAGGTATACAGTATTTAAGACAAGCTCATGACTTTTTAAAATAAAATCTATAAGGCAATCATTTTCTAAGTCATAAATAAATACTTCAAATCTACCCAATAAATTGTCTTAATTACTCTAATTTTAATTTTTTAGTTATAGGTGGACACAATATCTTTATTTTAATTTTAGGTGGTGCCGAGGATCAAACCCAGTGCCTCATGCATGCCAGGTGAGCACTCCACCTCTGAGCCACAATTCTAGCCCCTAATAACTCTAATTTTAAGTATAACTTATGCTGAAAATAAATTCAAAATCTCCTTTTTTATATCATCTATATCAGTAGTTTGTCAATGAACTTTATTTTATTTATTTATATGTGGTGCTGAGAATTGAACCCAGTCCCTCACACATGGTAGGCAAGCATACTACCATTGAGCCACAACCCCAGCACCTAAAATAAAAATCTGGAAGCAAATTTATAATGTTCACTCTTGTCAATATGGAAACATTAAAGAAAAACAAAAAGAACCAATTCAAGCCTCTGGCCAGAGATAAAATTGTAAATGATTTTAGGTCTCCTAAAACTGTATTTAAAATTTCTTACCAAAACCTAACTTTTCTTTCCTTAAAACATCTTGTCCTGCAAAATACTAAGCTAGAAAATAGCTCTTACCCAAATCACACCTAAAAAGTAAACTTTTAGTATAAAACATTTTCCCACACATCCAAGAAGATCAAAAAAATTATGACATAAGATCCCTAAACAGAATGCTAGGTATCTAAGATAAAAAAACAAAATGTAAGAGACTATGTTATCTAGTTAAAGAATTGTAACATCATAATTATGTAAGAGAAAGCATTCAAAATGAAAAATGCAGGTAATAGAATTGAAAACCAAAAAGTGGTTATTAATTTTCATGGAAGAATTTTAAAATTTTATCTATATTGCAACCACTATATAATTGTTGTTGTTGTTTGGTAATTGGGAATGAACACAGGGACACTTCTTTACCACTAAACTACAAACCCAGCCCTTGTTTTATTTGTTTGTTTATTTATTTATTCATTTATTTGTTAGACAGGGTCTAAATTGGCCAGGCTGGCCTCAAATTTGCAATCTTCCTGCCTCAGCCTCCTGAGTTGCTGGAATTATAGGCACATGCCACCATGCCTAGTTACTATTACATAAATGCTGTATAAACCTTTAGATTCTGGGACTCTTTTGGGAGGTTGAAGGTATTCATTTTTAATCTTTAAAATATTCTTTACAAAAAATTTACCTTTCTCTAAAACAGTATGTCAAGTAGCATTCAAGTTTTTTCACTCATGAAAACAGGTGTTAGAATAGAAAAATACTAAAGGCTTCATTATTCTTTCCATGCTATAATATAGAATTTAAATTTAAAAATTTTCTTCTGTAAAAATCAATGATTCATAATTCACTGTTATTTTCTCTTACTAATTAACTTTACCAAACATCATAATAACAGAAAGTAATATAATTTAAAAATTTATTCATATACTAGCTCAGGACAATCAAATTGATTTCCATTTCCACTTGTAAAAAGTAAGATAAAAGGAAATTTAGTAGTCTACTCTCCTAAAGAGGAAAGGACAGTTACAGAGGCCAATTCAGATATTACATTAGTCTATCATCTGCATTTAGAATGCAACTCATGAACTGTTGCCACTTTCCAATTGTGGTATTTTGTCATACTTATTGCTTTCTTGATATGTACGAAGTTGCTCCACGAAGCCAGAATTTGGACATATAGAAGGTCTTGCATTTTTCACCAAAGCAAAAGCACTGGTAAATGAAATTTCTTCAGAATTCATCAGGAAGCCTATTACAATTGCAGCAGCCCTGGAAACCCCTGCATTACAATGAACAAGAACCACACCATCCTGCAATAAAATAAAATATCCGTTATTCATTTGAGAAAGACTATTAAGTTGATTTTACATTCCTATGTACATAAAATTATAAAGTAAGCACCCTACTTTGATTTTATCAAAATCAATCAAGTAATCAATCAACCAACCTCCACTCCACCTCTCTGCCCCGGTATTGAAACAATATCTTTTATTAAGTAATCTAGTAAAGTAGTACTACTCATATATACATAAAAAGGAGAAAAATCACAGAAAATACACATAGAAACATAAATAAAATCACATTCATAAACTAAACAGAAAGAGACATTCCAAGTAACCATCATATTCCCATACAAAAACTAGTGTCATTGGCTTGGAAATCTTTATATAAAATGATCACCAAAGCAAGTTTTTTTCTACTCTTGGATATTATTTTATTGTGGAAGAAAGTAGGTTAAAATATTTAAACTTATGAGGTAATAAAACGATGACACAAATAGCTTTCACCAATGCAAAGTGGAAAAGGTAATCGGGCACCAGCATGAGGTCAATCAATGAAAAACGTTTCAGGTAACTTGAAAATGATACTTTCCAGGTGAAAAGGGACACAGTGCAAGACCAATGCTGATGGGGGCAATATTGTATCAATAATGAATGTGATAGATCTGATGAAATAGCTTTGATACAGCTTGGCCTATCTCAGGCTTTTAAAAAGTTAATGATCTAGATGAAATGTAGTGAACTGTGAGCACACCCTAAAGAATTCAACATTTCAGTTATTTCAATTCCTGATTCTTTATTTAGTACAAGAAGGAAAAGTGGGGAGGGGAAAAACTTACTGAAAATCCTCTACCAAAAGCGTACATTAATAATATTGTTATTATGGTTCATTGGATTATTTTACTTTTGTATGGCAGTTTTCTCACATTCACATATCCAATGCAAAATTATTTCCATAACTGTTGCAATAATTTGCAAGTGCATCTCCTTTCAAGAATGACTAGCAAAAACTTAGTTAATTTTTTAAAAATTCTAATATCAAAAAATGTAATTTAAGTTGTTTTATAGATAACTATGATTCATTTTCAAACTTTAACTGTATCTGCACATGGAAAGCAAAAAAAAAATATTCATTATATACTCTGGAAGTTTGCTTGCTATATAGCAATAGCTCATTTTTGTGACTTGATGTTTAAAATTATATTACAGTAACTTAAAAATTATTAATGATCATTTGGCTCAAAATAAATTAATTAGATAGTACAAAGAAGCTTATAATCATACGCTCAATAAGGAAGAGATACCCTTCAATGTCATTTTTATTATTTCCTTAGTCATCTCTATTTTATAAGTTCACAAGACTTGAAACCACATTTATTTTCAGTGTTATAAACTGTGCATCCAATTTTAGTTAATGTTTTGAAATGTTAGTATAATTATCTTCCCTCTTACTACTTTCTTCATATAACAGCTGATTTCCTGCAGTTTTTATTTACCTATTTTCTACCTTTTTATTATTCTTTAGGTATCATATTGTCTTGGAAAAGTATTTCCAGAAAAATTATTGGCTTTATGTTCTTTTTTCTGAACTCAAAAAAACAAAAAGACACCTAATTTATAAACCCAATTTTTTCTTTGCAATTGTTATTGTCCTCTATCTGGAAGACCTCTATTCTTCTTGATACCATTACCTCTGACTTCTGTATCAAAAAGATTGCCCTTCTCCAAGTGCAATGAGGGCAGGAGGAATGTTTTGTCTATACTTGTATGCTCAGTTTTTAGTGCATAGTAAATATTCCATAAATATATGCAAAGTGAATACATTGATTCATTCTGCATTTCTGTAAGGAAATTTGGTTCTCTCAAAAATCCAAGCCATCATTTTACTATATACAGATAATAATTATGCTATGCTATTTACATTTTTTTTCTATTTCCAGTATACTTTGTTCTCATAATTCCACAAATAGCTTTTCAGCTCCATGAGAACCACAAGCTGGATCCCTCACATCTTCCTAGAATAAATAATTGATATTTGTTGATAGATTAACTGAACCAGTTTTTCCTTACATAATTTCCAATAAAACTTGGGCATAATATGTTCTTTAAGTGCTTGACAACAGCCTATGATTAGATAAAATTCTGTGGTAGAATGAAAATCAACTGTTTTTTAGAGTGTATAGTATGTATGTAGCTCAGTCCCTCCCTCCCTCTTTCTCTCACTTTGATAGAGTGTGTCAAAGAATGAAGAAAAGCTCAGGTGCAACCCTCTTATCTCACTGAAGTTGAGTAATGAACTGTACCATACTTTTAGTAGCTCAGGTCAAGTCACTTTGAAAGCACTCATAACTATGAGCGCTAACACTCGTCAATACAAACATGGTGCTTTGGTTTCGATATGGTTTGAGTGTGTCCCACAAGGTTTTTTGTGTTGGAAGTTTGGCCCCCAGTGTAGCAATGCTGTGGGGCAGTGAACTTTTAAGAGGTAGGTCCTTAGCTGAATATGGTGGTGCATGTCTGTGATCCCAGAGTCTTGGGAGGCTGAGACAGAAGAATCACCAGTTCAAGGCCCAGCCTTAGCATCCTGGGAAAACCCTGTCTCAAAATAAAAATAAATACACAAAAAAGATCTGGGGGATGTAGCTCAGTAGTAGATCAACTCTTGGTTCAACCCCCAGCACTACAAACAAAAAAAAAAAAAAAAGAGGAGAGGCTTTGTGGGAGGTGTTTAGGTCACTGGGATGTGCCTTGAGGAGATTAAAGTAGTTTTCCTGGGAATCCTGATTAGTTCTTAACTAATGTTCCCACTATAATGATGCCATCCATTACGAGGTTCATGCCAGACCCAGTACCAGCACTGTTTGGACTTCCTGTAATGGTGATCCACTTTATCCTTTGAATATAGCCCTTGTTGCTCTGCCACTGCAAATTATTAGTATTAATTTTGTTTTGTTTTTTGGTACCGGGGATTGAACTCAGGGCATTCGACCACTGAGCCACATTCCCAGCGCTATTTTGTATTTTATTTAGAGACAGGGTCTCACTAAGTTGCTTAACTAAATTGCTGAGGCTGGCTTTGAACTTGAGATCTTCCTGTCTCAGCCTCCTGAGCCACTGCACCCAGAGGGTGCAACTCATTTTTAAAACCACATGCTTCTTCCTCTCCTTGCTCCTCCCTAATCTCTCCCCTCTAATCTCAGGGGAAACAGATAACCTTTCTTCTCCAACCTAGGCAGTTATCTGTCCCTGAGTACACACTCACCATAGGAATGAAGTAATCCAGACTTTGTGGATGGTACCAGAAGATCTCAGAAATGACTATCTCCCTTAGAACTCCAGACAGAGAATGTGTGGAATGTAGCCTTTGAGTCACCTCTTTAAAGCCCCCTGTTCCTGCTAATGGGCAGAATCACAGTCTTTGGGACAGAAGTTCCTATGTTTTTCCTATGCTAGCAAAGCAATAAATCATCTTTTTCCTTTCTTCTCTAAACCGTGTCCTTGTTATTGGATTGGCACTGGGGACAAGAACCCAGATTTCAACAACATTCCCACCTCCAAAACTGTCTTCTTTCCAAGTGACTCAAATTCAAACATTTTGTTCCAGTAATGGAAAATGGATTAACACACATGGAAAACAGAAAACAGTAGTGAGCAACAAACTAGAGAATGCATGTAAAAACTCAGTGAATTTAGGTAATTATTTAGACTTGTAATGCTTCTCTAATGAGTCTTTTCTTACAATGAACAAAAAATTGAAAACAGCTCATACATATATCTCATAGAAGAAAATTAGGTAAGTAACTTATAGAATCACCAATCACTAAAATACTATGCAGAAATTAAAATTTATTTGATAATATTAATTATAAATAATAAGCTATAAAAAGTATGAATTGTATAAAAGTACAGTTGTACATGACATAAAGAAATGAATGAATGATAAAAGCCTAGAGAAACATATCAAAATGTTATCAGTGGTTATGTCTAAGAAAGGGAGTAAGGTAATCTGAAATTTTATTTGTATTTTCCATTTTTCTAAGATTGCTTATGTAATGTTTTAAAAATAATTATAAAATAAATAATAAAGTAAATATGGAATATCAAATACACATTTTAATACTAACAAGCCAAACCTTTTGCACAAAAATTTTTAAAAAGAGAGGCCAAGTAGATTTATTTCCTAACAGAACTCTTGAGGTTATAGAGGTTACCATAACTGCTTCTCTGTCACATGTATTTCTGTTCTATACCCTTTAAGGTATACGCTTGACAGATTGTGTATGAGGTTGAGAGAGAAAAAGGCTACAGAAACCAAACCAAACAGGGTTAGTACAGAGGAAAATGAGAAAAGCATGGGAAAATGGAAGATATTTGGTTTGTATGTAAAAAGATGAAAACAAGATACTAGGTCCTAGAAAGTTAGTTTTGAAATATGCAAGTCGCTAAGTAGATTCAACAATACTTCAGTATACAATAGAAAAAGCCACGAGGAGATTTCTATTGATAAAGCTAAATATGTATTAGTGTAAAATATACAAAGTGTTCAAGGCAAGGAAACAATGGGTGAAGTTAGGATCCCAGTATAAAACACAGACTTGAGAAATCAGAACATATTGTAGAATTCTAACATATTTGTATCAGAAACATCAACTTCTCAGACTCCTTTGGCACTGTCATCTCATGGACCATCCGCCTTGGTTGCCACCTCCATGGTTGACTCCTCCCCTTAGTGCCATTAAGTTTAGCTTGTCTAAGAAGGAAGGCCATGCTATTCCCCACTGGTACCCATGAGATAAATAGGCATACTCCAATTTCTGGATTTTCTTGTCACCTCTGGCCTTGGATGAGAAGACATACCAGAAGGTACTGCATCTGGCTTTGAGTTGGCTGCTAAAACAGTAGAACACTGTAACCTGGGATTGAAGTGTTATTTACTTCCTTATTGGCAAACTCTAACAGGAAATGAGCTGACAGAGCAAAGGGGATAAAAATGCTTTCTCTTCCTTTCCAAAGTCTGTAGTAAAATGCAGTTTCTTTATATTGCCTATTTGAAGATATCTTGAGTGGTAGAGAAGCCATGCCTATGGAATAACCAACTATTTCCCTGTCAGCTTATTGTAAAATTATGCTCGGTAAGGTCTTGATCATCTTACACAACTTCTAATCCTACCTGAAATCACTTCCCTTTCCTCTCACTCTCACTGCCTATGGGATGATACTACTCAAATTAAGCATCAGCTCATAATCCTTGCCTCAGGCTCTGTTGTTGTTGTTTTTTTTTTAATATTTATTTTTTAGTTGTAGTTGGACACAATACCTTTATTTTATTTTTTTTATGTGGTGCTGAGGAGCGAACACAGGGCTCTGCATATGCTAGGGGAGCATTCTACCACTGAGCTATAACCCCAGACCTCAGGCTCTGTTTTTAAGAAATTCAAGCTAAAAACCATTCTAATAAACTCCAGTCAAAATTAAAGCAAACTTTTTTAAATTTAAAAAAATTTTAAATTCCCAAACTTAGAATACTCAATTTCTTGCTTTTTTAAAAGATAATATTACCTTCTCCAATATTTACTTACAAATCATAAATCTCTTCCAATTTTAATATGAGTATGGATGATATATACACTTGTCCATCTAAGATGTATTCTATATCCCCTTTGAGATGCAGCTAACAGAGAAACTCATCTTTTTTTGTGTGGTCCTGGGGACTGAATCCAGGGATACTCTACCACTTTGCTATATCCCCAGCCCTTTCTATTTTTTATATTAAGACAAAGTCTTGTTAAGTTGCAGAGACTGGCCTTGAACTTGAGATCCTCCTGCCTCACTCTCCTGAGTCAATAGGATCATTTTGATTTTTAACACTATTAACTGGTACACTGAAATATTACAATCTAGAGTCTATAAATAATTTTTTTGCAAGAGAACAAAATGACAAATATTAGTCTTTGAATCAGAAAGCCTATTCCTTTGTTTCCATCCAAATATCTGCTATTAAATAAGGCTAATGAATAGTTGTTGAGCTTTACATTTTCTGGGTAATCTAGTTGTAGGGGACCTAAAATAGTGCTAGGCACATAAACCACCCAATAAATATTACTATGTGAAAGAGAGGAAAGGAGAAATGGAGAGAAAAGGGAAGAAGAGGAAATAGCAGGAAAACCATTAGACCGGATTCAATTAAACAGGATTCTAACCCCAACTGTCATCGTTGGGTGCTCCAGAAGTGCTTCTTCTTTCTCTAAGTATGCCTACCTTCCTATCCACTTATTCTACATAAATTTTGTAAGAAATATTTACTGACTAAAAATTATATCATCTCAAGGTATAATTATTGGTAATAGCCAACCTAGAAGTCCAGCCTGTTAGAATGTTGACTTGGATCCAATACCAAGATTAAAATGTTATATTGTCTGTTGATCTTCTGAAGTCACAAAACCAAAGGAGAGCTTCTGATTGCCATTTTCATACAATCTCAGTGAAGCAATGCATATTTAGTCCTCTTAGATTGCTTTAAAATTCCATTGTTAAAAATCAGTCAAATAAATGCAGATTAATCATTATAAATATACTAATGAGACTAATTTCTATCCAGTAGCTATGGTTATTTTGCAAATTACTTAGAAGTCAAATGGTTATAAACACTCAAAAGAAATCTAACTACCTACTTAGTAGTTTGAATTAGATCTATATTTTCAGGAAAATTCAGTAGAATTTTCTAATTCCTATTTTCTCAGTTAGGCATAAGAAAATAAGAAACTCAATGTGAGAAGTAAAAGTCTTATTGAGGAATGAGCCATTAGAGAACTGAAAATTTCATAAAGGTTCTTCACAAATTAATTGAAAAAAGAATAAAGACTGGATAATGGACCCATACTTTCAAATGTCTGCTTTGGAAGAACTATGGATAAAAACAAAACTTACCTTCATTTTTGCTTGTTCAATGAATTCAAAACATTCTGGAAAATAAGACAGGATATTGGTTTCAGGAAGGTCCAATATAGAAATGCTTTTATATGTAAACTCACTGAAGAAAGCATTCTCAACTCCATATGCAACATTAAGAATATGAGTCACCTTAAAGAGAAAGAAAAAGATGAATTTACTTTCTCTTTCTTGAACAAAGAGAAAGAGAGCCTTAAATGTTGAAACTTCCTTTATAGATGTTGTCCTTTGTAAAAGGGGGACTTTTTCTCTGTTCTCAGAGGATTCTCTATGGCTTCATCTTCTCAAAATAATAAGCTGGCTGTGTTGCCAAAAGCTTAGTCCTTGTCCCTGATGCCAATCCAATAACGAGGACATGTTTTTCAGAAAAAAAAAAAAAGAGGAAAACGAAGGTTTTGCTTTGCAAAGGAAAAACACAGGGACTCCTGTCCCAAAGGCTGTTATTCTGCCCATCAGCAGGAACAGGTGTTTTTTGTTTGTCTTTGATACTGGGGAGTGAATCCAGGGGTGCTTAACCACTGAGCCACATCCCCAGCCCTTTTTCGTATTTTATTTAAAGACAGGGTCTCGCTGAGTTACTTAAGGCCTCACTAAATTGCTGAGGCTGGCTTTGAACTCATGATCTTCCTGCCTTAGCCTTCCAAGCTGCTGGGATTATAAACATGCGCCACCACAACCAGCTAGGAACAGAGGGCTTTTAAAGAGGTGATTCAAAACATACATTCCACGTGTTCTCTGTTGGAATTGTAATTCCTGTTCATCTCAGTATTTGTTTTTTTTTTTAATTTTATTATTAGTTGTTCAAAACATTACAAAGCTCTTGACATATCATATTTCATACATTTGATTCAAGCAGATTATGAACTCCCATTTTTACCCCGTATACATATTGCAGATTCACATCGGTTCCACGTCCACTTTTTTACATACTGCCATACTAGTGTCTGTTGTATTCTGCTGCCCTTCCTATCCTCTACTATCCCCCCTCCCCTCCCCTCCCCTCCCCTCTCCTCCCATCTTCTCTCTCTACCCCATCTACTGTAACTCATTTCTCTCTCTTGTTTTTTTCCCCTTTCCCCTCACTTCCTCTTATATGTAATTTTGTATAACAGTGAGGGTCTCCTTCCTTTACCATGCAATTTCCCTTCTCTCTCTCTTTCCCTCCCGCCTCTCGACCCTGTTTAATGGTGATCTTCTTCTCCTGCTCTTCCTCCCTATTCTGTTCTTAGTTGCTCTCATCTCAGTATTTGCAGAGTTATTTTTTCTTCTGTTTTATAGCTATTATATATTCTATGTCATGAGTGTACTATTGTTTATTTAACAAGTTCCCTATTGATGGACAGGAAGGTTGTTTTCAGTAATTTGTTATTATGACCACTGCTGCAATTTTACTTGGAACATTTTTTATGTTACACTTAGTTTTTCATCTTCCAAAGTACTTTATTAGGCACACACCAGGGCACTCAAAGAGCACATTAATATATGCAACCATTATTACCATTTCTAAACATTAAAATTAAATTCCTATAGAAATTTCTGAAGTGGTCCTCCACAAGAGAACTTCCACTGGTTATACCATTTTACTTAAATCCTACGATGTCACTTTGAAATGTGCCATTCTTTATAATTTTGTTTGGCAGCACCCTTAAATTTTTCTAGAACACTCTATTCAGCAACTTAGTTTAACTCTGCTTTCTCCAAGCACTATTAACACTGTCACTATGAACAGACATAGCAGTATCTTTTAAACAGCCTCTTGTTTCACATCTCTAGGATGAATGAACTAGTGCAACATAAGAGGAGAAAGAAGAAAATCACTTGCCAACACAAAAATTATCAAATTCCATTTGTCATTTCAACAACAATCTGTCAGTGTATGTAAGACTTTGAAACATGTTCTACCTTTGTTAAAATATTGTTATACAATATTTCCTGTTAGGAACTGCAGTGATTCTCATATTCTTATGTAATTGAAGGCCATTATTTCTCTTTGTTGGGTGGTAGTAAGTATAACAAACTAAGGAGAGCCTGGTTAAACACAAGGCAGTAAGCTGACAAATAAAAACATTAGATTAATTAATGAACTGATTAGTAATTATTTTCCTTGGAGAAATGATTGCAAGTTGTTTATCACATACATTTTTTTAATCCTCAATTCATTTTTTTAACCAAGCAGTGGATAACAAAGATAAATAGAATATAAGGACTTTATTCTTTTTTAATATTTATTTTTTAGTTATAGGTAGACAGAACATCTTTATTTTACATTTATGTGGTGCTGAGGATCGAATCCAGTGCGAGCACATCCCCAGGTCTTTATTCTTGACAAGTCTGCTTACTAATAGAGGAGGGGAAAACATGTTTATCAGTGATAATAAAATAAGGCAGAAGGTGTTAAGAGCTATAATCAATTGTCACAGGGTTAAAGGGGAAGAAGAGATTACAGAACTTGCTCCCAAGATCCTTCACATTTGCTATTCTCTCAGCCTGAAGTGCCATTTCCCATTGAGGCTATGACTGACTATCATAAGGTCTCAAATGAAATGTCCCAGCCTCAGATAGTTCTAGGTGAACCCAAGTTACCCCCTGCCACTACCTCATTGCCTTATTTTACTTATTTTAAAGAACACATTCACATCTGAAAATATCATATTTTAAGTGCAGACACCCTAGTGCTTATTCATTTCCATATTTCCTGTAGCTAGAAAGGGGACTAGCACAAAGAAGGTGCTTGATATTTTCTGAACATTCTGGAAAATAAGACAGGATACTGGTTTCTTTCTCACACTCTCCACTTCAGTTCTTTTCTGTCCCCGAAAGCATCAGCTTTCCTCCTGCTTCTGGGGCTTCACTTGTACTAATTCTTCTATCCAGATACTGTTCTGACTGTCCCTGTCCCCCATTCAAAGCAAAATTTCAATACTACTTCCTCGTCAACTCTCCTATCTGCAAACAAGACAAGCACCGGTTGAGGGCATCATCTCCTAAGCATTCCTATGACAGCCTGCACTACCCACATCAAAGCACACAACACGTTACAGCAGTTTTCTTTTCCTTCTCTGCCAGTCAGAGCATAAGCTTCATGTGAGCAGGAATCTCCTGCATTCCTCAAACCATAGCAATTCTATGATCTGAAACGGTGCTTGACACAATGGTAGATGGCTAAAAAAATTTTGAAGTAAATTCTGAAAATAAGTAATAAATCACATCGCTTGTGTGATAAAAAATGGGATTGGAAGAGGCAGCATGTGAGTTGGACTCAAAGCATGAGTAGGTCTTTGATAAGCAGAGATGAAGTCAAGTCTATCATCCTACACAGAGGAACTGCTTAAGCAGAGGCAAGAAAGATATGTCTCCAAGATCAGGTTCATGAGGATATGTGAGGGAGACAGAATATAAAATTGAAAAGAGATTACAGATTCACATATTTTAATTAGATGCAATTATGTTATATGGAATTTTATTAAAATGACAGCCAAAATGTTAACAATTAAACTGAAATATACCAAATATGGGCCAATACAATTTTCCTAAATAAATATAACAATTAAAACACTTCCTATATGTGGTGCCAGACTTGAAGCATTTTTTTACCTTGTGCTTTTTCAGTACATCCAGGTCATGAGCAGCATCTTGTGACCCTATAAGAAATAAATCATATCACCTTCAACATAACCATCCTGACTTTTTATATAAACTTGTACAACAAATCCATTAGTTAACTCTTTAACAACAACAACTTGGGAGGACTTCAGTTTAATTTTCTTTTAATATTGTTTTAGTTGTAGTTGGACACAATACCTTTATTTTATTTATTTTTATGTGGTGCTGAGGATCGAACCCAGCAGCTCGTTCACGCTAGGTGAGCACTCTTCCACTGAGCCACAACTCCAGCACCAATTCAGTTTAATTTTCTGAATAGCAGTTTGTTAATATCATCACAAAAGATTAAACTTGTTTATACCCTTAGACTTTCCCAATTCTAAGAATTTGTCCTAAAAGTTATACATGTTGCAATAATTATCTATAAGGATGCTCATCATAGTATTGTTTATAATGCAAAAAAACAAAACAAAAACAACTAAAGGTCCAATAAAGAGACTCAGTTAAATAAAAATGCATAATTATGTAGGGAAACATACATAAGAAATAAAGAATATCTACAGTGTGGAAACAAGTTCTCAATACATTTTATTTTATTATTATTAAACCCCAGGTGCTCTACCACTGAACTACATCCCCAGCCCTTTACATTTACTTATTTATTTTCAGGCAAAGTTTTGCTAAACTGATGAGGCTGAACTCAAACTTGAGATCCTACTGCCTCAGCCTTGCAAACTGCTGGAATTACAGGTGTATGCCATCACACTTACCAAGTTCTCAATATTTAAAGTAATTAAAAGCAGCCTACAAAATATCATCACAGATTTTTATAAAGACCAAAAACTTATGCTTTGAAAATAGGAAGTATATAGAACATAATATTAATAGTGGTGGTGATAGGTGATATTTTTCTTTATATTCATTTGTATTTTTTTCATATTTATTTTTTAGTTTTAGGTGGACACAATATCTTTTTTATTTTTTTATACTTATTTTAGTTGTAGGTAGACACAATACCTTTATTTTATTTTATTATTATTTTCTTTTAAAGACAGAGAGAATCTTTTTTTTTTTTTGAAGATGGACACAACACAATGCCTTTATTTTTATGTTGTGCTGAGATCTGAACCTGAGTTCCGCCTGTGCTAGGCGAGTGCTCTACTGCTGAGCCACAATCCCAGCCCCCTTTATTTTATTTTTATGTGGTGCTAAGGATCTAACCCAGTGCCTCATGCATGCTAGGCGAACACTCTACCAGTGAGCCGCAACCCCAGCCCTCATTTGAATTTTTTACAATAAACACCTCTTTTTTATAATTTATAAAAGATATTATGAAAATCACAACCACAAAATGACTTAGTGCCAGCTGGTTTGGGAACACCCAGTAGCTTAGACATCTATAGGATTCCACCCACACAATCCACCTACCACTAGGGCTGTTCTCTTTTTATAGAATCTTTCTATCCAAGTGGGCTTTCCAGTTCTCCCACACTTGGAAACTGGCTCTAGTTAATTAGCAAATCTTACATGAGAATAACGTGTTAAAATAAAGCAAATTTTATATTGAAAGAATAGGGCATTGAATTTAAGAGTTTCAAACATTTACTTTCCTGAATTAGGTTCTATTTCCATAAACAGTGTTTTTCTCACCTTAGTTGCCTGGGAAATCAGCCAGCTTTTATTAATGATCTCAGGTAGCCAAGGGCCCAGAAAGTATACTATTTGGCTAATATTCTCTTAATGATAATTAAACTCACAGGCTCTTTACTGAGCCAAACATTCAGCTTTATTCTACTTAAAAGTTGGCCTATCAAACTATAAATGTTTATTAAAGCTGGATAGTAGATACCTAATTGTTATATTATTTTCCATAATTTTCTATAAATTTGAAATATTTCATAATTTAAAAGAAATTCTTAGTTTTCCACTGCAGGAAGTCCTAATCATCTTGGGAGGGGGGGATTCAAATAAGTTTAACTTAAATTTGGCAGTTTAATATGCAAGTCATTTTTTAAATAATAATTCTCCATTTCTTAAAATAGCACAAACTGAAACACGACTTAAATAAAATTCTTTCTTTTTTACTCTATACTGTCATTATCATACATATTTTTTACATTGAATGCTTTAATACTTTCAATTAAACATACACACACACCAAATACAGAGCAAGTAGATTATATTTCAGAGCTAGCTATATTGATATAAACTAATATTCCTGAGGCAAAAAAAAAAAAAAGTAACTTGTATGTTCTGTCTTTCCAAACAAAAAGAAAATTAAATGACTGTTAGTAGCATGAGGAAACCATTGAAGCCAACAGAAATGACTTCAGGCAATCAATTTGTGTTTTTCATATGATACTTGATAATATTCAGTGCAAGTTCATTCTCTCTAAATTTTAGATACAAACATCAGCTTTTCTCCTATTTTAAAAGGATGCTTTGTGTTGCAGTCTTGTGTTAAATTTTGGGGGGAGGGTACAGTAAGAGGGGTTGAATCCAGGGGTGCTTAATCACTGAGTCGCATCTCAAGCCCTTTTTATTTTTTATTTTGAGACAAGGCCTCACCAAATTGCTGAGGCTAATGATGAACTTTCGACCCTCTCCATTAGCCTCCCATGTCGTTAGGATTACAGACATGCACCACTGCACCCACCTTTGTGTTAGAATTTCAGTAATAAATACTGAAAATCATATATTCTAAAATGAGTTATTTTAAAAACCATTGTTTTGGAAAAGCAAAATATCATCCTTTTGCAAATTAATTTAAATGAAATTAAAGCATTCTATTTTAACAGTGGTTACATAAATCTATACTTGTGTTATGATGTATAAACTGGGCTAGGATGTAACTCAGTGATAGAGTGATTGCCTGCATATGTGTGAGGCCTTGGGTTTGATCCATAGCACCTCCCAAAAAAAGATTCGTAGAACTATACCAAATCAATTTTATTGTATAATTTTTTAAAAGAATTAATGAATGGGAATACAACTGAACAATATAACTAGTAAAAAGCTAGTTATATTTTACATTGACACAACCACTCCAATATTCATTAGCATAGGTAAGGATTATTATTTAAATATTACAGATGACATACTAATTTAGAAAGAGTATATATTATAGACTATTGGTACTGAGGCTTCTAATAAGTTAGATGTTTGGCAATCAAAGTGTAGAAATCATAAGACACAGGCTATGCAAGATCTCTAGAGCCCGTTTGTATTTTTCAAAGAAATCATTTTAATGAAAATATCAAACAATGTATATACTCTGATAACATATTTTAAATTTACAAATCACTATTTTCATAATCACAAAACAAAACCAAAAGTTATTATATTACCACAGAAGAAAATAAATGATATTCTAAAGAAACGTTTTATTTGAAAAAATTAATAATAGTAAACATTCATTAGTGAATTAAAATAGGAACTTAACTTACTATGAGGATTCGATAACAGGATATTTATGAAAGATTTTATCTAATAAAGTGCTACACAAATTTATACAAATTTAAAATATTATCTGCCTCCCAAGAATCCTGCGTTTCCTGTATCTCAGATATATAAACCACATAAAGTACCTCATGCTTTTTATGGGGAATGGAAGAGAAAAATCTCTAAAATGTCACCAATTTAGACACCTTAGCTGAATGGATATAGGAAATAATTAGTGTGCCTTTAAACTACCCAGAAGAAATGGAAATTTCTGTTTTCAAATCAAGTTACATTTATCAAAAGTCCCAGTGGTTTTTGTCGTAAAACCATAATTTGCAAAACTTAGGACAAAAATGCTTACTAAGATCTTTTATCCACCTGTTGGATGGTTCAAGGGCCAATGTGAGATTTTTTTAAATACAGTAATTCATTAGACTCTGTCTATAAACTAACTGAAAAAGACAGATTACATTTTTACAGCTCTCCATTTTCTGCATAGCACCATGGTATGCATTGCTGAGAAGAAACTGTGGGTCTTTGGTGAGGTGAAGGAAGCTTTTAAAACTAACCTGGAAACAACTCCAGACTCCCTGATAGAAACCAAGTCCAGACAGAAACAACCCCTGCATCATTCATGTGGAAGAACTTTATATGCACATATCATGGATCCCTTAGGAATAAGGCACTTATAACTAGACAAAAAGGTCCCTCTGTCTTTCAAAAGAAAGAAGGTTGTGCCTGATCAAAGTGTCCTATTTCCTAGTCCAGAGAGGAGACTGGTTTCAAAAACCCCTCCCAAAACTCTCCCAAGATCTTGGGGAGGATTCCAACTCCAATCTAAGAACAGAAGCTTGATCAACTCCATTTGGATAAAGTCACATTAAAAAAATAAGCAAAGTTCATAAAGACTCTGAATTGGCAAATAATAAAAAGTAACCACAACTGTTTTAAACTAGTATTACTACAATGTCAGCCAAATAACTGAGAAATTGCGCCTAGATGTATTTCAAACTAGTATTGCTACAATGTCAGCCAAATAACTGAGAAATTGCGCCTAGTTGTATTTCAGAGTACGCATGGTTCAGTATTTCTACATAACAAGAAATCATAAAACCATCAGACTCACAGCTATAAAATAAAAGCACTCCTCCTAAAAACTCCAAGACACCATGAAGAGATGTGGCCACAGAGGGATGCATTCCATAAGGTTTGAAACAACTTTTCTATACCTTTATCGCTTCTTACTTGTTTTGTCTAATAAAACTTTTAAATTTATTCTTTCAAAAGATAGCCTTTTGTAATTCTAGAAAACACAATATCTGTCTGTTTTGCTCCAGATAAGTTAGAAAAAATAGGGCGGGGGAAGCTTTTTTAAAAAATTCAAGGTGCTAAGGGCTACTAGAATCCATGCTTCTTATGGGCATAATGTGGGTACAGAAACTTCTCTATGTGTATAATGGAAGTTCCATATTCAAAAAAAAAAAAAAGGAAACATTTCAATGTTTTGATAGCATAGCTGACAGTACAGGCACATAAGGAGGTGAGGTTTCCTGAGAAAGTAATTTAGTTTTAACTCAGTGACTTACCCAGAAGCAACCATGGCTTAATAACGCCAACTTGCAGGTCCAAGCTAAGGTCCTGCACATAACCACAACCAACCCCCTCGCTTGGCTGTACTTCTTCCACAACATGAATTCTGGCATCTTTCCATGTTTCTATAATTTTCTTTCCAGTTAGCGTTGTCACCCTGGTGCATTGCTTCCTGAGATTATTCCGGGAGAATGCTTTAATTTCCTGGCTAAGGGAGTGCATTACATGAGCAGTGGCTGGGAACAAATGCAAGCAAATCCAGCAAGCACAGAGAAGGGCTGAACTCCTCGTCCCTTATTGCTCAGGTAATAAATACAGCCGCGGGGCGCTTGCCTCCCCAGGTGAGGCGTTAGGTAGCCACCACACCCCAGGAGACCTGAACAGTCCAACAGTCTTTTTCCCACAGCCGCGATGTAAGGCGACATTTGATTGGCCACTGAGAAATGGGCGCCGATTGGGTGCTGATTCTTTTTCCTGTTTGGCTCGAAACCTGCGTTTTTCCTGCAAGGGAGAAGCGATCGGCTGGAGAGTCGTCAAAATCTATCTTCACTATACACGTAGAATGCTAAAGTATAAGACTGAATTGGAGAGAGGGATGCTATCTTCCAGCTCTTTAAAGGCAGTGACTTTGTGGATATGTTCGGTTGGTTTAGTCACGTTAGCGACTGAATGATGCCGGCTACCGTGTGTCGCTCCTCTTTAGCGAGGCCGCGGAAGTCAAAATGCAGATTGTCCTACTTTGCCTGGCCCGCCTTACCCTCCTGATGTTAGATCTGTCAGGGGTGGGCTACAGCAGGTGTGATGAAGTTATTTCTCTTTTCCTGCGTCCTTCTCACCCTTTCTTTATGCTGGAATGTTTACTAAACAAAACTGCCTGTATTTGTGAGGCATCAATTTAAATGAAATAAAAAAAAAAAAAATTAAAAAAAGGTATTGAGAAAATTTTAAATTACATTCCTATATAAATTAACAAAACTTAAAATTTATGAATTTTCTGACTTTCCGCCTACATTTTCACCTGCTGAAGAACTGTAGAAGGCTTAATGTGGTAAATATGTGCTCTGTTTATAAAAAGCATTGCACCAAGCCCATCTATATATAGTTGAGAAAAATTAAGTGTGCAAACATCCAAATTTACAAGACAGATAAACAGTAGAGTGATGGTTCTGATGACAAAAGGATGATTTGTTTTACTAAAGAAACAACAAAATTTCTTCAACAAGAATTTTCCTGACCCTTAAAAAATAAAGATTGAAGCCTGGTGCTGTGATGCATGGCTGTAATCCCAGCTCGTTGGGAGGTTGAGGTAGGAGGATCCTGAGTTCAAAGCCAGTCTTAGCAATTTATGGAGGTCTTGAGCAACTTAGGGAGACCCTGTCTCCAAAATAAATTTTTTTTAAAAAGGAGGGGGTGCTGGGAACGTGGCTCAGTGGTTAAGCGACCCTGGGTTCAATTCCTGGTACCAAAAATAAATAAATGAATAGATAGATTTTTAGATGAATTCAGGCACAATGTATAAATACATGTATAAAATGAAGATATTGTACTTATGAAAATCTGTGCTCCAATACCACACATTAAAATTTTTTATTATTTAAACTTTCTGGCAAACTTCTATGAACTGAATGTTTGTGTCCCTTCAAAGTGTGTACAGTTAATCTGTAATTCCAGATGTGATGATATTTAGAGGTGGGACCTTTGGGAGGTATTTAGAGTCAGATTATGTCATGAGGGTAGGGCCCTCACGATGAGTGATATAAGTGGTTTAGCGAGAACCGGAAGTGATCTCCTCTCTCTCCTTCCAGAGTGGCAGGGAAAGGCCATGTAAGGACAGAGGGAGAAGTCAGCTGTCTGCAAACCAGGAACAGAGTCCTCACCAAGAACCTTGAATAACCCAGCAACTTGATGTTAAACTTCTAGTGTCCAGATCATGAGAAATAAATTTCTGTTGCTTAAGCCACACAGGTTATGGTATTTCATTATGGCAGTCTGAGCTGACTGAGAGATAAACCAAAATCTTTCCTCTTGAAAAGAAGTTATCAGCCCAGGTTATCTATGGGGCACTCCAAAATGGAGAAATTATTTGCATCACTTAAACAATCTTGGGCTCACTAAAACAACTCTAACCAGAAATAAATCCATATATTTGTCAGAACAATGATCAAAAAAGTAACTATCAGTCATTGAGCACTTATTACATGCTAGGCACTGTCCTTACAAATAATTTTTAGATTTTTATGTTATACATTAGGCACCTAACAATGCTTTAGTCATATTATCCCGATTGATTTTACCACAAGCCTGTTAGATACATCCTTTTACAATCATCTATGTTTTACAACTGAGGAAATTTAGATGCAGAAAGCATATATCACATATTTATTCTACCTTCTGTAGCTAATGAGTTCAAGACTGTAAATAAAACCTAATATTGTTTTAGTCCTGTATCTTAGTTTTATTTACTATGGAATATTGCCCTTCCCCAAAAAGAATTATACTTAACAAATATTTATTAAACACCAACCATGTACTAAGACTGTTAAGGTCACTGGGGATATAGCAGTGAATTAAAGCCCTTCCTGTCTTATGGAGCTTATATTCAAATGGAGTGGATGAACAGATAAAAAACAAAAGTGTGTGTGTATAAAGCCATGTTGTGTCATCATTTAAATGTTAAAAGGAAAAATCAAGTCAAATAAGGGAACAGAGTGAAATGGCAGTGTGCTGTTTGCTAAAAGTTTATGAAAGAAATCACCTCTGATAAAAGATAATTTGTTTTTGTTTTTTTAGATGGGATCTCACTATGGTGCACAGGCTGGCCAATCATCCTCTCTCAGCTCCTGAGTAGCTAGGATTACAGACATGTGCTCAGCTTTAATAAAGTGAATTTTGAACAGAGACTTGAATAAAGTGCAAAAGCCAGCCCTGTAGATATCTGGGGGAGAATTTAATAGGAAGTGTCTAAACGTAACACATCTAGTGTCTATATCATGTGCTTGATAGTACCCTAGTGGGAGGTATTGTGGTAGTGGGTAAAGGTTCAAGAAATAGCCAGGTGGCTAATGTGGCTTTAAGAGAGTGAATTTAGAGGAGATGAGGTCCAGAGAGAAATGGTAATCACTTTGGATTGTATTCTGAGTGACATGGGAAGCCACTGGAGGGAGCGAGGAAGAACAGTGATGTGCTACACTAACTAACAAGATCCCCCTTGTTTCCCCAGCTGGGAGAACTACTGACTGACTGGTGAGAGTCCCTTTGGGGCCTGCCTTAGCTACAAAAGGCTGCTTTCTAAGGATATGTTTTTCACAGAATAGACTCCAACCATGACTAATCCACGAGGAAGCATAGAGGCCTGGCCATGTTTGGCCCAACTTGGGACAACTCTAAAGGACCACTGTGGCTCTGAGAGCCAACATATTGTTAGCTAAGACTGTCATCAGGTCTGCATAACCACTTGACTTCTCTGTCTGCCCAATTGTGCTTCATTGTTTTCTTCCACTGCTAAACTCTGACTCAGTTTGCTTCCAAGGAAATTTAATCTGTGACAAGTGATTTGATATTGCCTTTTTCTGTAAAGGGTTTCTTCTGGCTGCTGTCAGGACAGGAGGCAAGATAGAAGCAGGGAGATTTGCTAAGAGGCTACTGCCATGATCCAGATGGAAGAGGACAGATGCTTAGGCTAGAACGGCAGCAGAGAAGAAGAAAGCAAGTAGGTATATTCTAGATACAGATGTTTGACTTAGGATGGAGTTACACCCCAATAAACTAATCATAAATTGAAATATTTGTGTCAGAAGTACATATAATGCACCTTACCTACTGAACAGCATAGCTTGGTAACACAGCACCTGTAGAGCACCAGTTGTTTACCCTTGTGATGGTGTGGCTGACTGGAGGCTTACAGCTCACTCACTGTCTTTGCCCACCATCATGAGACAGTATCATACTTCATATTGCTAGCCTAGGAAAAGATAAAAATTCAAAATATGTTTTCCACTGGATGAGTATCATTTCATACCATTGTAAAATCAAAAATCATAATCAAACCATCATAATCAGGACTGTCTAGATATAAGGATTTGTTAGTAGATCAATGTAAGGAGATTTGGATGATTCCAAAGTTTTTGGCCTGAGAAACTGAATAACAAACTTGTTATTTTCCAAGAAAGAGATAATGCAGAAATGAAAAGCAGTTTCAGATCTGCTAGGCTTTACATGCCTATTATTCAGCCAATTGTAGATATCAAGTGGACAGTTGCACACTGTGAATCTGAATTGCAAATAAAAAAGGCATCTTCTGAGCTAGGTACAGTGACTCATGCCTATAATCCCAGCAGTTTGAGAGGCAGAAGCAGGAGAATTGCAAGTTCAAAGCCAGCCTTAGCAACTCAGTTAGGCCCTCAGCAACTTAGTGAGATCCTGTCTCAAAGTAAAATAATAAAATGGGCTGGGGATGTGGCTCAGTAGTTAAGTGCCCCTGAGTTCAATCCCTGGTACCAAAAAAGAAAAGTATCCTCTGGAGGAATACTCAGCTCAAAGAGGCCTTCGAAGCTGTGGAACTGAATGAGATGATGTGCTACTGAGGGTTGCTAGCAAAACCCCATGAATGACTCATTCAGGGGTTGAGATGAGGCAATGAGGAGGATTCAGCCAAGAAGACAAAGAAGGAGAGGTCCTGGAGGTAGAAGAAAAGGAGAAAGATAGTTCCAAGAGTACAAGAATGTATTTCAAAGTAGGTGGATGATCAACTGCGTCATACGCTACTGAGTGTTGAAAAAGGTGAAGATTGAACACTAATGCTAGATTTAAAAGCCCTCTCAATAAAAACAGATGGTATGTCCCTGAAGTATACAAACGCTACCTGATTTCATACATATGACAACCCAGTGAGGTAGTATTATCCACTCTATGTTTTTGTTTGTTTGTTTGCTTGTTTTGTTTGTTTGGTACTGGGGGTTGAACCCAGTGGCACTTTACCACTGAGATACACCCCCAGCCTTTTAAAATTTTTTTATTTTGAGACAGGTTCTCACTAAGTTGCATAGGGCCTCACTAAATTGCAGAGGCTATTTTCAAACTTGTGATCCTCCTGTCTCAGCCTCCCCAATCTCTGGTATTACAGGTGTGCACCACTGTGCCCAGCTCAACTCCATGTTTACGAATAAGTTTAAGGCCTAGCCTTTGGCCACAATTCAGATTTCTGTTTTAGGTTCTAGTAACAAGGTTGGTTGAACACAATTCAAGAGTCCATGTCCTTTGCAACATGTTATTCTACAGAGGATGGTAGCATTGTTTACATTTTATAGCTACATTCCCTACTGATAATGCTGGGATACTAACAGGACATCAGTAATAGTGGATGTTTATACATTGATTTTTAAACTCTATGTGACATTTTACAGAAGAAGAGCCAAGTT